GTTGTTGTTGTTAAGTGCCGTCGAGTCGGTTCCGGCCCATGGCGACCCTGCATAGGGTTTCCAAGGAGCGACTGGTGAGCTTGAACCACCAAGCTTGTAGTTCAAACAGCTTTGCAGTCTTGCACATTAACTCACAGCGCCACACCAGGACTCCATTAGAGAGATGCCAATCAAAAGAACAATGAGCTATCAACTCAGACCAACATCAACAGCTAAATTCAAAATAACAGAAAACCACCAAAGCTGGTGAGGGTATGGAGAGACTAGGAACCTCCTACACATTGTGGTGGGACTGTACCGTGGTTCAATCACTCTGAAGAACTGTATGGCAATTTCTCAGAAAGTTGGAACTAGAATGACCTTCTTCTTCTTCTTAAGTGCTGTCGAGTTGGATTGGTTCCATCTCATAGTGACCCTGTATAAGATTTTCAAGGAACAGCTGGTGAACTTGAACTGCCGACCTTGCAGTTTAAACCGATTTTGCAGTCCAGCACATTAATCCACAGCTCCACACTTAAGACCCAGCAATCCCTCTACTTGGTATATATCCACAAAAAAGTAGGAGCCAGAACACAAGTAGGTATATATGCACACCAGTGTTCATGACAGCACAATTCACAATAGCAAAAGGATGGAGAAAACCCAAGTACCCAACAATGGAAGAATTGATCAAACAAATTTAGTACATACACACAACAGAATATATGCAAATTAAAGAATAATGAAGAATCTGCTAAACACCCCATACCGTGGATGAACCTGGAGGACATTATGCTGAGTGAAATTAATCAATCACAAAATGACAAGTATCGTATGATACCATTATTATAAAAGCTTAAGAAAAGGTTTCCAGACTGAATGAGCCATTCTTGGTGATGGGGAGGGCACTATACAAGAAGAGGGAGGGTGGCGGAAGAATCATAAAGACAGGTGAAGACACAGGGATACATGCATGACAAAGGGGACTAGGGATCCCTGGTGTGGCACTGTGGGTTAATGCGCCAGACTGCAAAGCCGTTTGAACTGCAAGGTCGGCGGTTCAAATTCACTCGTCACTCCTTGGAAACCTTATGCAGGGTCGCTATGGGTCGGAACCAACTCAAGGGCACTTAACAACAACAACAACAAGGAGAATAGGGATGTATGTAGATGTCCCACAGATAGACAGGAGAGTGAAAGAGCCTGTTGGTACGTATTTACCGTTCCTGCAAACACAGCTGTGGCTATGGAGGAGCATACAGTGGGCAAAACGATGAAAAGTTCTTCCATCTTATCAAACACCCTAAGGCAATAAGGAGCTGAGCCTGGGGGCTCAGGACCATAGTCTCAGGAGACCCCACGGTCAACTGGCAGAACATAGACCATAAACCCAGTGTTTTACATCCTATTTTGGTGAGTAGTATGTCTGTGACACTAAAAGCTCATGAGTGGCCATCTAACATGCAGCAGCTGGTCTCTCCATGTGCAGAAGAAAGAAGAGTGATGAGAATTGAAGAGGCCTGTAATCAATTAGTCCTACAAACTAATAGAACATGTGAACACTAGTCTCCATGACTGTGAGCCCAGAAGAATTAAACGGTGTCCAGCTACCACTATCAACCGTTCTGAAAGGGATCCTATTAGAAGGTCCCAGATAGAGCAGCAGAAGCTATGGAACAAAATTCAAAATTACTGAAAAAAAACAAACAAACAATGAAAAAACAAGACCGGGCTTACTAGTCAGAAAGAGACTGGAGGAACCTGAGATTGTGGCCCTCAACCATCTTCAGGTCTGGAAAGGAACTCACCCTCAGGATCCAAATTTCCTCTAAGCAGTACACAGGTACGTAGCGGAACAACACTAGTAAGGCATGCCCACTATGAAATCATCCCGAATCAAAGGGGGCAACATGCACCTACGGACAAAGGTGAGAAGGGTGGGACGCTGGGTGGACTAAAGAGGGGAAGCACAGAGAGGATGGGGATGGCTGTTGTTGCATGGAGGGGATTACAATCACTGAGATGGAACCAAGTATGTTATTTGTTGACTAATACACTTGACAAGAGCTGATGGTCTTGTCCTTAAACCTTCACTTAATTTACAATAAAAAGTAAAAAAATAAAATAAAATAAATGAGGTCAGGTCAATTAGAGTCCTGCCAGCCCTTCAGAAGTACAAAGGCACTCACTCCAAAAGTACTGACTCCAATATGGGGAAACAGACGCGGCCTGCTGGTAATTCTGATGGACAGTCAGTTAAAGAACCAACCTAGGACACAGTTTTCCTATACTTTGAAAGGTAGGTCCAAAAGACATGATCTAAAAAATACCCTCCAACTATGTTCCTGACCCACGTAACACTCCAGTCTGTCGATATTGCACATAGCCAAGAGGCTCACTCAGTCTACTAGGGGTTGTCAACCAGGCCTAACCTACCCACTGCTTTCCTAGTCAGCTCCCATTGAAGTCCCGGGAGGAGCATTTCTGAAGGCCAGCAAATCTTTGTTTCTACTACACAGTGAGATCAGTGATTATCTCTAAGAAGCCACGAAACGTGTAGGCTGAATGTATTCAATCACCATGCACATAGCAGTACTCTTACTGTTTTATTATTATAAGTTATTCTTTAACATTGCAATGGTATTGTGGATTGCTTTTTAAAAATAAAGTCATTCTAGCATAGTCCCACGCCCTTATTGCCTGTAGAAAGAGAGGTAACTTTTAAACTTAACCACAAAATCTCTAAAAGGTGCTACAAAAATGGACATCTGCCATGTAAGAAATACCTTAAGGCTTCCAGCTATATAGGATATGGTTGAAACTGATGTATCAGTTTTTCCTTCAATAGTCAAATGAGAAACAAACAAACCCTAAAAAATAGAGCAGTAATAAACATGTTTTTACCCTAAGCAAGATATTCAGTACAGAGAGAGAAGCAAAAATAAATCCAGAGGGAAAAAAGGTCTTTTAACTGGAAATATAAATATCATAACCTTCTGCCACCAAAACAATAATAAAAATAGTATAATATGTTAAGCGCATGACCTAACATGATTGGCTTTCAATTTACAATATCATATCATATATACAATATATGTTATTGTACTCAGAAAAGAAGATGTAGACAAATGTTGACACTTATTTTTTTGTTGTTCTAACAATTCTTCAAAAAGAGATTTTACTGGGGGGAAAATTCTGAAATTTTTTTTTTTTTTTTTTTTTTTGCTGTTATTTAGTCTGAAGATTTAAAAAAATATTTTTATTAAAAAACAAACAACTCAGAGCTCCTTACTCTATACTGTGTGCTTCCTAACTAAGACGGCACTGTGGGCTGCCCTTGATGGCCCTGTGTACATCGCTGCTCAGCCCCAAAGATCCTACCTCTCATCTGACTTTATGATGTGGGCCTGTGAGCAAAATCCAGTGAAAGATAGACAGTCTGACCAAAATGCATTCTATTGTGATGAAAGAATGAGGCTGGCAGGAGAAAATGCATTCTGCTCAGACTTCTCCTTCAAAAGCTGTGTCTCTCCTCAGGTAACAGAAGCCGAAATGGTCTCAGATGGCCGCCCTGCCCGCTAGACTCAGATATGTCCACTGAGGGGCACAAGGATACAAATGGCACTGGAAGGTATGGTCAAGTCTTCCCTACTCACCTTTTTCCCAGAGAGCTGGGAAACCTGGCAACCAATCTGCCAGTCCCTGTCCACTCCTTCCATAAAGGTGAGCAGCTCAGGGACTTGTCAAGGAACCTAGAATCGGCCCTCGGCTATTTCTCTGGGGTAGTAGCCAGGCCTTTTTTGCTTTGTGTTCTGATTGGGCTGGGTAGCATAGATGAAATAATGTAGTATCCTCATTCTGTTTCAAGATTTTCTTTCAGCCAGGCAGCTCCCAAGCATGCCGTACATCCTTCAGAGGCTCACACTGCTGAGGTGTCCCTCTGAGCTTTGTGGCCGGGGTCAGACTCCCCCATTAAGGACTGCAGGGGGACCCCAGAGGTAGCAGCTTAGCTCTGCTGGCCTGGAGGAAGGGACAAGGGTGGCAGGGCAGCAGGAAGTGTCCCTCTGAGACAGGAACAGAGCGAGAACAGAATGGAGCCTGCCTTTCTCTCCTCCTGGTGGTGGTGCCTGACGAAGGAGAATCCCGGGGACATTTAAAAATCGCCCTTGAGACTATGACAAATAAATAATTACCAAATCAAATGAAACAGACTTCCGGACAGCTGCAGTTCCAGATATTACCAGACACGTTTAAAAGGAAAATATCTGTCTTTGCTTCTGGCCCAATTAGGACCAAGCTTGGCCAGGTCTCCCTCTCCCAAACAGCTGGGATCCCAGTAGAACAGGGGCACCAGCAACATTAATACTTCACAACTGACAGACTATAGTGTGCACTCCACATCGGTTATCTCATTGGCTCCTGTGAAGCAGGCAGTGTACAGAAGAGGCACGGAGGCCCAGGAAATTTTTTAAAAATCATGCTCACGGAGGATACGGTGCATGAGCCCTGCAGGCCGGTCCTGTGATTGGATCCTTCAGTCACCGTTCATCATCACATCTAACTCACTCTTGGGAGGCGAGCTGTCCCGAGTGTGCTCCATGGCCAAACACACCTGGACAAAGTGCTCTCACTTAGCACCTCTCAAAGCAGGCCCAAGGATAGGCAAAGTGGGAAGGCAATAAGGCCTACAACAAAATTCGTTTCTGTAAAAGTCAATGTCTCAAATACATGAATGAATACAATGAGAACTAAAATAGTTTTCTGAAGAAATCTTTGAAATCTATGACCTTTCTGAGTTCTAACTGCAATAAAATCCATGGGGATACTTAGATTTAACATTCCAACACAAGCCAACACTTTGTTAAAAACATCTTAGGTGAGAGGGAAGGTGGGGGTGAGAAAGAGGAAAGTGTAGAATCCGGGGTCTCTGTGGGTGCAGTGGGGCACAGTGATGGGCAGGGAAGCACCTCAGCCTTCTGCTAGCCCTTGCAGCCCCCAGATTCTAGGGGGGGGGTTCCAAGCTAACGGCCATGTTGACCATTAGGAATGAGGTTTCTGTCAGTCCCAAGGCTATGCTTCAAATAGTCTATGTCTTTGCCTTTGGGTGCCTCCTCTTCTTCTTCATCCTCTTCTTCTTCCTCATCATCGCTCCTCACATCGTGGATATCCTGGATAAAGGACAAATTGGGATATGAGTGACAAGCATCCAGGAAGAGCATTGAGTGGAAAAGCAGACAGGCTCAGTTAAGAGGCATGACTCCCCAAAAAGAAAATCCAATAACAAACCATCTAACATTCATCAAGATTAACCATACTATGGGGTACAAAACAACCCTTAACAAACTTAAAATCATTGAAATTATATAAAGTCTGTTTACAGACCATATGGGAGTAAGTTAAAAACCAGTATGAAAAAGGTAATAGAAAAATCTCAAAACACTTAGAAAAAATGTCTTTCTTTAAAAGCAGGGGGTCAAAAAAAGTCTTAATTGTTATTAATATGTTTTAATTAAATGGAAATGAAAATACAACATACAAAGACGTTAAGAATGCAGCTAAAGTAGTGCTTAAAAGGAAATTCATACCATAATGATTTTCTAGAACAAAAGAAAGTTGTTAAATGAATTTGAGCCTCCACTTTTAGAAATTAGAAAAAAAATAAAAGGGAACAAAATAATCACAAAAAAGTAAAAGGAAGAAAATAATAAAGAGCAGAAATTAATGAAATTTGCGCAGAGAAAAACAATAAAGAAAAGCAAAATTCCCCAAGTGGGCTGTTTGAACAAATCCATGAAGTTGTTAAGCCTCTAGCCAGACTGACAGAGAGAAGAGGGAAGACATATGCTGCCCGAAATGAAAGAGAGGCTGTGCCTTCTGACACCCTAACCCTCCTCCGTGTAGTAGAGGCTCCTGGTGTGGTGCTGGGCGGTCAGCACCAGCTGCTCCTCAGAAACCCGATACATGGGCACTATGAGTCAGAACCAACTTGGCAGCACTTAACAACAAAACCAGTTTAGTAACCGAATTCTCTGAACAGCTCTATGCACAGAACTCAAGTGAAATGGACCAATACCAGACATACTAGTAAAAATCACCCAAGGAGAAATGCTGCGGTTTGTTGTGAAATGCCAGAGTCAGTTCTGACTCGTTGTTGTTGTTAAGTGCTGTCGAGTTGGTTCCAACTCAGAGTGAACCTGTATAGGGTTTCTAAGGCGCGGCTGGTGGGTTTGAACCTCTGACCTTTCGGTTAGCAGTCCAGTGCTTATCCTACAGCGCCACATGAGGACTCCAAAAAGAAATGAATAACCTTTAACATAACTGTGAAAGGCAATGAAGTAGTAAACATCTACAAAATGAACACCAGACCCAGATGTTTCCACAGGCAAATTCTCCCAAAGATTGAAGCTAGAAATAACATTGCTTCTTCCTAATCTCCCCTAGAAAATATTTTTATTTTAAGCGGCCAGCATGATTCTGATTCCAAAGCCAGACAAATGAAAGTATAAGAAAAGACAACGACTGAGTACTGTCTCTTATGAGCATGCTGTTGTAGTTAGTTAGTTGGTGCCAGAGAGTCAGTTCCAACCATAGCAACCCTATGTACAACAGAACGAAACTTCCCGGTCCTGTGCCGGCCTGCCCATCACAGCCAGGTTTGAGTTCATTGTTGCAGCCACTGTACCAGACCATATGTTGAGGGTCTTCCTCTTTTTCACTGACCCTCCACTTTACTGAACACTATGTCTCACTTCAGCGACTGGTCATTCCTGACAACATGTCTAAAGTATGTGCAGTGAAGTCTCACGATCTTCATTTCCAGGGAACATTCTGCTTGTATTTCTCAGTATTTGAATACCTTAAGTATTAACAGTAACACCCTTTAAACAGGGCTTTGCAGCAGATCTGTCAGATGAAATCTATCAGTTGAATTATTGATTGCTGCTCCTAGGCCTGTTGATTGTGGATCTAAGTAAAAGGAAATCCTTGACAATTGAAACCTTTTCTTTCCTCATCATGATGTTGCTTAGTAGTCTAGTTATGAGGATGTCGGAGTGTTTGACAGTGTCACAATACACACTGAAGGGTGCTGACTGTGAGCTTCATCAGAAAGTCCTTCAAATGCTCTTCATTTTCAGCAAGCTTATCTCAGGTGGTTAAGGAGCCTGCCTTGAATGCTAATGCCATGTTCTTCAAATATCCCACCTTCTCGGGTATTCTGGGGAGCATACAGACTGAGCAAGCGTGGAGGCAGGACACACCCCTGTCACACAGCTTTCTTGATTGTAAACCATGCAGTATCTTCTTCTGTTCTAATGAGTGCCTCGTGGTTAACTGAACGAGCACAATGAAGTGTTCTGGGATGCCCATTCTTTGAGACGTTATCCACAGTTTGTTATGATTCACACAATCAAATGCTTGTGCATACCCACTAAAACACAGGTAGGCATTTATTTCTGGTATTCTCTGCTTTTATCCAAGATCCAACTGACATCAGCAATGATATCCCTCATTTCACATCCACTTCTGAATCCAGCTTGAATTTCTGGCAGGTACTTGTTGATACGTAGCTGCAACTATGAGGGTGAGTCACAAATTATCTGCACTCTGTTTCTATTAAAACACCCATCCATGGCCACTGCAGGTGGCACGGTTCTGTCCGACAGATGAGTGACAGTGGATTGTGTGACAAATCATTTTCAAATCAGCCATGGTGCTGCCTGTGAAATAATCCACCACAGACTTGGGTTTTGGAAAGTTCGTGCGAGATGGCAACTGTAACAACTCAAGGAAGAGCAGAAACAGAAGTGTTGGCACGTCTCCAAACAAACTCTGGACTCATACTTAAAGGAAGGTAAAAGCGTCTTTTAAAAAAAAAAAACATTGCTGGTGACAAGGTATGAATCTATCACTACAAGCTTGAGCGCAGACGGCAGAGTATGAAGTGGAAACATCCTCAGTCACTAACTAACAGAAAATTAAAAAATCACCCATCAGCTGGAAAATTGATGCTTACAGTTTTCTGGGATCCCCAAGGGCCAGTATTGGGACACTACCAGGAGGAAGGTTCAACAAGCAACAGTGCTGGTTAGTGAGACACTCACTGAACCCCTGAAGCCTAAGCTTTGGATTAAACAGAGGACTGCTCTCCAGGGGTGCTGTGATCCTGCGTGACAATGCCCCCGCCCACCCTGTTGACACTCTGCAATAACTTCATTCTGAGGTGTTTAAAACACCCTCCCTATAGTCCTGATCTTGCTCCACTGGACTTTCACCTGTTTGATCCCCTGAAAGCAGCCCTTCGAGGACGAAGATTCACTTCTGATCATGTGAAAACAGCAGTGCATTCATGACTGGCAGCTCAGCCTAAAACATTTTTCAATAAGGGAATACAAAAGCTTGTTGACAGATGGACAGAGAGTGTATGGAAAAGCAAGAGGATTACGTCGAAAAATGATGTATCTGTCTTTTCTAAAAGTCTATTAAAATAAATTCTACAGTCAGAGTGTGGATAATCTTTGACTCATCCTCATCTATCCACCAATCATTAAAGCCAGTGATGATGAAATTTAAGGATTCAACCAACTTCCTCAGTCTGAAACTGATCAAATGCATTGAATGGAAAGTTGGAAATAGAATAATAATAATTGTTGTTGTTGCTGTTAAGTGTCGTCAAGTCAGTTCCGACCCATAGCGACCCTCTAGAGGGTTTCCAAGGAGCAACTGGTGAACTTGAACCACCAACCCTGCAGTATGAAACTGACTTCGCAGTATGGCGCATTAACCCACAGACCACACCATTAGTAGTTGGAAAATTTGGCCTTGGTGATAGAAACAATGCTACCATTCTGCAAGACCAACCAATGACTTCTTCATTGCCAATACCTTTTATCAACAACATAAACAGCAACTATCCACGAGGACCTCACCAGATGAAACCCAGAGAAAGGAAATCGACTAAATGTATAGAAAGTGATGATGGAGAAGCTCAATATCATTAGCCAAAACAAAGCTATTGACTAAACTATCAATTGCTCATATGCAAGTTCAGGGTGAAGTTGAAGAAAATTAAAACAAGTCCATGAGACCAAAAATATGGCCTTGATTATATTCCACCTGAATTTAGAGGCCATCTAAAGAACGAATTTTATGAAGTGGACCTAATGACCAAAGACCAGAGGAGTTGTGGGATGATATTAAGAGCAACATCCATTCATAAGCAAAAGGACACTATAAATGTAGAAAAGACAAAAATAGATGTCAGAAGAGATCCTGAAACTTGCTCTTGAACACAGAGAAGTAAAAGGAACTGGATAAAGAGCATGAGTGGAATGTGGAACCCTATCCAGAGAAGCAACGACACCAGAAATGAGAAAGGGAGCAGCTGAGGACTCCAGACTCACAGAAAGAGAAAGGTTGGGTGCTGGTGGCCAGGAGGCAGGCTTGCAGAATGTGCCCTCTGGTTGTTTAAATGATTATATGTTCCTGAGTGTTTCTGTATACATTAAATAAAAATTAAAAATGGAGGAATAGAAGCACATACTGTTGAATGACGATGCATGGAGGGGATTGTAATCATTGCAATGAAACGAAATACAATAGGATGAGTGCAAAGCTGCTGTTCTCCCATGTAAACTATCATTTAATTCACAATAAAAGCTTAAAAAAAAAGGCGCCTAACAGAAAATTACAAAGGGCAGTTTGAGAAGATGAAGTCAACTATTATAATGAAATGTGCAAAGATCTGGAATAAGAAAATCAAAAAGTACAAACAAACTGAGTACTTCTCATGCTGAAAGAACTAAAGAAAAAAATCAAGCCTCAATTGCAACACTGAAGGATTCTATGGACAACATACTGAATGACACAGGAAGCATAATAAGAAGATGGACGGAATGCACAGAGTCACTGTACCAAAAGAACTGGTCGATGCTCACCCATTTCAAGAGGCAGCATATGATCAAGAACTGATGATACTGAAGGAAGAAATACAAGCTGAACTGATGGCATTGGCGAAATCATGGCTGTAGGAATTGATGGACTCCAAACTGAAATATTATAACCAACTGATGCAGCACTGGACGCACTTACTTATCTGTGCCAAGAGACTTGGAAGACAGCTACCTGGCCAACTGGTTGAAAGAGATCGTTGTGCCTGTCCCAAAGTAAGGTGACCCACCAGAATGTGGAAGTCATCAAACAATATCATTCATGTCACATGCAGGTAACATTTTGCTGAATATACTCGAAAAATGGTTGCAGCAGTGCATCCGCAGGGAGCTGCCAGAAATTCAAGTTGGCTTTAGAAGAGAACGTGGAACAAGGAATACCACTGCTGACGTTAGATGAGTCTTTGCTGGGGAGACAGAACACCAGGAAGATGTGTATTTGTGTTTTTAATTAACTGTGCAAAGACACTCAACTATGTTGATTTTAGCAAAGTATGGATAACATTGAGAAGAATGGGAAATTCACAACATTTCATTGTGCTCATGAGGAACCTAGACATAGATCAAGAGGCAGCTGTTAGAACAGAACAAGGGAACACTGAATAGTGTAAAATTAGGCAAGGTATGCACCAGGGTTGTATTCTTTCATCGTATTTATTCAATCTGCATACTGAGTGAATAATCTGAGAAGCTGGATTATGTGAAGAAAAACGTGGCATCAGGGTTGGAGGAAGACTCATTAACAACCTGCGATATGCAGATGATACAATATTGCTTGCTACAAGCAAAGATTACTTGAAGTACTTACTGATGAATCTCAAAGACTATATAGCCTTCAGTGTGGATTTCAACTCAGTGTAAAAAAAAAAAAAAGAAAGAAAGAAAATTCTCATAACTGGGTCAATAAATAATATGATAAACAGATAAAAGATAAAAGTTGTTAAAGAGATCATTTTACTTGGATCCACAATCAACACTTAGGAAGCAGCAGTCAAGAAATCAAATGACATATTGCATTAGGTAAATCTGCTGCAAAATATGTCTTTAAAGTGTTAAAGAGCAAAGACATCACTTTGAGGATTAAGGGTATTTAATGACCCAAACCATGGTATTTTCCATCAGCTCATATGCATGTGAAAGTTGGACAATTAATAAGGAAGACCACAGAAGAATCGATGTATTTGAATTATGGTACTGGAGAAGAATACTGAGAATATCATGGATAATCCAGCAATCTCTCTATTTGGCCTATATCCTCAATCAATGAGAGCTTCTGTGCACATCCAGGTTCACTACAGCATTACTCACAATAGCAAGAAGATGCAGACAGCCTAAATGCCCACCAGCAGAAGAATGGCTAAACAAACATTGGTACATACACACAATGGAATACTACACAACGCGGAAAAACAACGATGAATCTGTGAAATGCCTCATAACATGGATGAACCTGGAAGACACCATACTGAGTGAAATTCGTCACAAAAGAACAAATACTGTATGTGACCACTACTGAAAAATGTCACGAAAAGGTTTTCATGTGAAAAGAAGCATTCTGTAATGGTCACCAGGAATGGGAGGGGGGGGAGAGTTATTCACTGGCTAGAGGGTAGAGAGTGACAGGGAAGACAGTTAAATATATATATATATATATATATATACAAATAGTAAATTACACTGATGCACTTTGCTGTTGTTGTTAAGTACCAAGAAGTCAGTTCAAACTCATAATCACTCTATGGGGTGTCTGAGAAGTGGCTGGTGGGTTTGAACTTCTGACCATTTGGTTAGCACTCCAGTGCTTATCCTAGAGCACAACACCAGGAGTCCACTGTACTGTGCAAGCTATCCGTAATTTGGGACTTGAACTTTTCTTGCCATTATTAAGGTCCCAGAAATAAAAGGTGTGCAAATATAAAATCCAATACATTTAATCATAAATATGATTATAATTGGCTTACAGAAACATTGAAAATAAAAGAAAATACCAGGAACTGCCAATAGAACAATCTGTCTAATAAGAATTGCAGCCAGAATGTTTCTTAGAGGCGAGCATGGCTAGACTTTGTGTCTCCTGTTATCAAGAGGGACCAGTCCCTAAGGAAGGAAATCATAATTGGTAAAGTGGCCAGTCAGCAAGAAAGAGGAAGACCGTCCCCAATGAGATGTATTAAACACAGTGGCCGCAACAATGGGCCCAAGCAGAACACCAATCGTGGGGATGGCTCAGGACTGGGCCCTGTTTCGTTCTGTTGTACATGAGGTCATATAAGTCGGAACTGACTCGATGGCACCTAATAACAGCAAGTAGATAAATACTCCCTCACTATATGGTCAGTGATTGTGTCTTAATCAATTCTGTAATATTCTCCTCACCTTGTTCTGGAACTAAAGTTCAGAAAAGAATGGAAAACAAATGATAGTCTTTCTATTGTCTAAAAGGTATCATCCACGTTTACTAGTTAAGGAAGAATTCAATCAACAAACTATAGTCAAATGATGGACAATAATTCAGAGAGTAAGAGAAATCTCTAAGTTCACATTATGTGCAAATCAGCCACTTAAAAAAGGTAAATATGTTGTTTTTGTTAAGTGCCAGAGAGTCCATCCTAACTCATAGTGACCCAGCACAGGGCTTCTGAGGTTATCAATCTTGGTGGGAGCAAAAAGGCTCATCTTTCTCCCACAGAGCAGCTGGTGGACTAGAACCACTGGCCCTGTGGTTTGCAGTCCAATGCTTATTCTACAGAGTCACCGTACTTCTCAAGGTAAATGTAAGTCCCTGAAATATTATCCAGGGACTAATCAGAACCGGTTCCATGGCACTTAACAACAACAACAACCATGCTAAGGGCTCCTAGGATAAACACTGGACTGCTAACCGCAAGGTCGGTGGTTTAAAAACAGCAGCCAGTCCTTGGAAACTCTCTACAGGGTTCCTATAAGTTGGAACCCACTCGACAGTATATAATGACAACAACAAGCCTCATAAGGGGAACACAGTGGCTCCATATGATAAGCACTTGACTGCAAACCACAATGTCCATGGTTTGAGTTTACCAGCCGCTCCATGGGAGAAAGATGAGGTTTTCTGTCCCCACAAAGATTTTAAAAGCCTTGGAAACCCTATACAGGGTGGCTATGAGTCAGAATTGACCCGAAGACACTTAATACCACCACCACCACCATCCTAAGGCTTGACTCAAACTAGAGCAAATTTTGATCCACTAGAAAATTCTTTTGAAAATCAGCAACCCATTTACGGATAAATATATATATTTAAAATATTTGTTCTGGTGTGGCACTGTAGGATAAGCACTGGACTGATAACCATAAGGTTGGTAATTCAAATCCATCAGCCACTGTTTGGAAACCCTATACAGGCTCACTAGGAGTCAGAATTGATTTGACAGCATTTAACATCAACAACAACACAAACAATTTCCTAACAGCACCTTAGAGAACTACTTACTGAAAAATCTAGCTATTCAATAGAGAAATTTTTGTATCATTAATCATCAAATCAAGAAAAATAAATTCTGGTTAATCATGAGTTAATTACAAATTTCCATCACCTAAGCATCAGCTTTAGCCCGCCAATGAAGTCTACTTGTTCAGCGTAAGTTTCCGACAGTTCTTACCGTTGTAAACATAAATCGTTTGAGAATCTTCAGGATGAAAAAACACCAGTAAAGGTGAAGGGCTTGCAGAACCATGAGTTGTAGGTTGAGGAATATGTACGAAAAGAAAGGCTCGAGGTAGTACAAGGGCAGGATCATCGTGCAGTATAAAATCCTAAAGGATCAAACAGATGACAGGGAGAAACGGTGAATTTTCAATGAGAAAACAAACGATCTTTTCTTCCAAGGCATATATAACACTTACTTCATTTCAAATGATGTCCAGGAAATTCTCAAAGGAAACAAGATGATATCATCTTTTAAATCATTATTGGCAAGCAACAAGAAAAAGCCCAGTCTGCCCCCAGGGAGAAAAGTTAAACTGAACGATATTTTTATTACTTACTACAATGTTTTAAAATGTTTTATTGTCTATACTATAATGGTTCTAGGCCTTGGTTATAGTCTTCAAACAGAAAAGCATATACTAACCCTACTCTCCTTCCCAGAAGGGGGCACAATGAAGAACAAAGACCTGTTTGTTGTTGTTAAGTGCCACTGAGTCGGTTGGACTCATAGAGTTTCTGAGGAGCAGTTGGTGGGTTTGAACTGTTGACCTTATGGTTCATGTTGGAGGTTCAAACCCACCAGCCGCTCCTTAGAAACCACACAGGGTCACTATGAGTTGGAACCACCTTCACTGTACTAACAACAGCAAGATGAGCTGGATACAACTTGATAGCACCCCAAAACCAGGTTTATACAACTACCTTCATCACCAGGACACGTAACAGTTCCACCGTCACCCTCCAAGCGACCTTTGCTATCCAGTCTCAGCTTGTTGTGGTCGGTGTTGCCCAGTTGCTGCCCAGTTGGTTCCCACTCAGCGACCCTGTAGAGAGTTCCCAAGGAGCAGCTGGTGGGTTGGCAACCACTTACCTGCTTTCCATCCTTTACTTTTTACCTTTTCAAGATCATAGAAGCCTTTGAACTGGCGTCTTCTGTCTTGTGTTCGGAGTAAGGCCTTTAAAATTCAGTCAGGTAGTTCGGAACATCAATAGCAAGTTCCTTATAAAGTACTGAGTAGTATTCTGTTTGTCTGGGTCCTGGTTAACGCATGCAGGCTAATGCACTAGACTACAGGGTCAGTGGTTCAACCTCACTATCTGCTCCTTGGAAACTCTATACAGGGTTGCTATGAGTTGGAACTGGCTCAGTGGCACAATAACAACAATCGATCTGGCTTAGCTATCTAGTGTTGCTACAACAGCTAAAACTGCCTGTTGAGTTTTCTTCTCTAGACTCTTTACAGAAGCTCACCAGGGCTTTTTCATGAAAAGTTGTTGGGTGGCTTCAAACCACCAACCTTTTGGTTAACAGCCAAGAGCTTAACTAGTTGAACTACCAGAATCCCTTCGATATCTGCTTCGTACTTTTGCTCCCTTTTCTGAGTTATCAGTTAGAAAAAAAATAATATGAACTCAAACATAATAAAGATATTAATCCTTTATCGATTATATTTCTCAAGTTCGCTTTTTCAGTTTTAAAATATTATTTTTAGAAAACTTAGAAATTGCAGGCGAAAAAAAATAAAGAGGCTTAATAAACAGCACCTAGACTCTCAACTGATAGGTAACCTTGCATATTTTGGTGAACATAATTCAAGACATTGCTCTTAAAAATATATTACTTAAGGTGTTAGACCTTAGTTACTTTTTATTGTGAATTGGGTGGTGACAGTCAACATCAATTTCCCATTCAACAATTCATTGATTACCTGAAATTTTTGCCTGTCACCACCACATGATTTTATGTAACTGGGATCACACTCATACATGTTATTTTGTATTCTCTACTTTCCATCCATAGTGTGTTAAAGACTTTCCAGTATCAGTAAATGTAGGGCAACAGCAGGCATCAGCAGACTTATTTGTAAAGAACAGATAATAAACATTTCAGGCCCCTGGTCCATACAGTTTCTGTTGCAGCAACTAAACTCTGCCATTGTAGCACAAAAACAGTGGCGGACAATACATACGTGAATGGGTAGACTGTGGGCCACTAAAACCTCATTTATAGAAACTGGAAATTGGGCTGATTTTGGCCTGTGAACCTTACATTCCAATCCTGTTACATATCTTATTTAATGGTTTCAGAAAATTTCATATTCTAGATATACCATGAGCTACGGAGTCCTGGTGTGGCGCTGTGGGTTAATGCTCTGGACTGCAAAGTCAGTTTGAACTGCAATATTGGTGGTTCAAGCTCACCAGCCACTCCTCGAAAACCCTATACAGGGCTGCTATGGGTTGGAACTGACTCGATGGCACTTAACAACAACAACAATGGAGTCCTGGTGTGGTGCTGTAGGTTAATGCGTTGGACTGCAAAGTTGGTTTGAACTACAAGGTCTGTGGTTCAAGCTCACCAGCTGCTCCTCACTGACTTGATGGCACTTCACAACACCAAATTTACCAAATAATGGAAACTCACTGGCTCATAGGGACCCTCTCTAGGGTTTCCAATGTTATAAATCTCTATGGGAGCAGAAGGAGTCATCTTTCTTCTATGAAGTAGCTGGTGGGTTTGAACTGCCCACCTTGCGATTAGCAGGCCAGTACTTAACCTACAGTACCACCAGGGCTTTATAATTTATTTAACCAGCTGCTTCTAAATTTCACTACATTTATAGACAACACTGTAAGAATGACTTGTAAAGACATTTTGGTATGCAGTCCTGCTCTGGTGCTGCAGGATAAACTCTGTACTGCTAACCACAAGGTCAGCGGTTCAAACCTACCAGCTGCCCCTCCAAAACCCTGGAACTGACCTGACAACACTGAACACCAACAACAATGTATGTATGCCAGGAAGGAACACTGAAGGGGGAAAATGATTGCGAGTACAGTAAAAAGTCTGTAATAGCGGCTAGAGTTAAGATAAAAGCAAATCCATGTAGCTCAGGAAGAATCTGATAAAGCAGTACAAAAACAAACCTAAAAGAGGTCAGACCATATTCTCAATAGTAATCAGTGGTTATGGTATTTTATCTCCCAGGCTCAGCACCTTGTCCCTTATTAGGGCCTCTACTGGGAATTTGTCAATGTCAAAATCGACAAAGGGGCCCACTCAAAATATCTCCTTCACATATTTTACCATAAAATGTGAATAATTACCTACAAATATAATTACTCATGCTGATCTACAAACAGAGAAAGAGAACAGAACAGAGTGTGCAGTTCTGAATGAACTAAGATTTCCCTTCTTTCTCTGGTTGAAGGAAAGGAAAAGAGTTCCACTTAGAGGGAACTTCATGTACAAATGCCTACAGGCGACAGGCATCATGGAAAATTCAAGGAGCTAGAGGTTCATATGGCTTTGGTACAGGCTACACCTCAATGTAAAGGAAGCAAGCATCCATAGGACCAATAAAAAACATCATGATGAACGGAGAAAAGATTAAAGTTGCCAAAGACTTAATTTGCTTGGATTCACTATCAACACTAATGGAAGCAGCAGTGTAGAAATCCAGCGATGTATCGTATTAGGCAAATTGGCTGCACAAAACTTCTTTAAAGTGTCCAAGTGCAAAGATATCAATTTGAGGATTATGGTGCACCTGATCCAAGCCATGATATTTTCAATATTCTCATATGCGTGTGAAAGTCGGACAACGAATAAGGAGGACCGTAAAAGAATCGATGCATTTGAGTTATGGTGTTGTTGTTGTTGTTAGGTGCCATCAAGTCAGTACTGACTCATAGTGACCTTATGCACAGCTGAACAAAACACTGCCCGATTCGGGGCCAACCTCACTACTGTTGCCACGCTTGAGTCCATCGATGCTGCCACTTGGCCAATCCATCTCATTCGGGGTCTTCCTCTTTTTTTCTGACCCCTCCACCTTACCAAACGTGATATCCTTCTCCAGCGACTGCTCCCTCCTGACAATATGTCTGAAGTCTGAGAGATGAAGTTTGGCCATCCTGGCCTCCAAGGAGCAATCTGGCTGCACTTCTTCCAACACAGATCTATTGGTTCTTTTAGCAGCCCATGGCACTTTCAATATTCTCCTCCAACACCACAACTCAAAAGTATCAATTCTTGTATGGTCTTCCTTATTCACTGTCCAGCTTTCACATGCATATGAGGTTATTGAAAATACCATGGCTTGGGTCAGGCGCACCTTAGTCCTCAAACTGACTTGTTTGCTCTTCAACACTTTAAAAAGGTCTTATGCAGCAGATTTGCCTAATGCAATACGTCGTTTGATTTCTTGACTGCTGCTTCCATGAATGTTGATAGTTGATCCAAAAAGAACGAAGTCTTTGACAACTTCAATCTTTTCTCCATTGACAAGAATGTTATTTATTGGTCCAGTGGTGTTAGAGGAGAATACTGAAAGTACCAGAGACTGCCAGATGAACTAACAAATCTGTGTTGGAAGATGTACAGTCAGAATGCTCCTTAGAAGTCAAGATGGCCAGACTTCCTTCTCTCATACTTTGGACAAATTATCAGGAGGGGACAGTCCCTGGAGAAGGACATCATGCTTGCCAAAGTGGAAGGTCAACAAAAAAGAAGGAGATCCCCAAAGAGATGGACTGGCACAGTGACATCAGCAATGATTGTGAGGTTGGTGCAGTGTTTCGTTCTGTTGTGCATAAAGTCATTATGAGTCGGAACCAACTCGATGGCACCTAACAACAACAAATGGCTTAAGAGAAAGAAGCAGTAGGGAAGGATCTACAAGACAAGGCTGGGGAGGTAGATTTGGGCCTTGAAAGCCAAGGTTGGGAATGTGGTCTCACTACAAATTCAATGAGAAGCATTGCCAGTCTTAGAAAGGAGAGTGACCCACTGACCACAGAATCACCATTTTTCCCTCTTGTGACCTGCATATGTGAGGGAGCGTCCTGTTCCTTTGTCACCAGATGGAACGAAGCCAACCTGTCGACTGGGTCCTTCCAGGGACAGCAGAGACTGCTATGAAAATGCAAGTGCCTCTGAGACAGCTGAACCTCTGCAGAGAGGAGAAAGAGGTCCAAAGCATGGACTGGGGTATCTGCTGCATTTGGACCATGGCTCCCTGAGAGCTTCAGTACACAGCCTCTCTGGGCCTCAGTGTCTTCTGTAAAATGAGAATAACAACACCCACCACAGTGGGTTAAACAA